ATATTGTGATTAAAAAAAAGTGACATGTGGTTATTGTGAATTATGGACTGATTAAGTGATGATAGTTAAGATTGACTATATTCATTATCATTGTTAAAACAACAAATATGGATTTAAATATGAAAAAGCGAATATTTGAACATATATATGTGATGAGTATTGTTTAAGAAATTATTCTGTGAATTCTTTTGTTGTGCCATGGTACCACTCAGCTTCATTGCTGAGCGTGTAGACTTTTTCATCTTTCTACACATAGGTATGAGAGAGAATAAATATGGAACCTATTTTGGAGATTACTGAGATGGAGGTGATGCGTGGACGTGCACAAATTTATTATTTAACTAAATGATTTTATCACATGGTGACCACACTGTTGTAATTTGCAAATCGCTTCTGTACTATTTTGAATAATTTTACTCTGATGTATTATGAAATATTTAGTACAATATTTGAAATAAAGTTTTTAAATGTTTGAAATTTTTACGTTGCCAAGTTAATACTTTAGTCCAAAAGGGGCTGCAGACCTGAACGGATTAGGGTGTTACAAGTTGAGCCTTCAACTCCTTCATTTCAGCAGGAGCCATGCGATAGGGTGTTGCAGATATCAGTCTTGTTCCAGGGACAAGGTCGATGGAAAATTCTACTTCACTAGAAGATGGAATATTAGGAAGTTCGTCAGGAAATACTGTTGGGAAACGAGGCTTGGAAAACGCAGCAGAAAACAAAAATTTATAGTCCAAAACTCGATTCCACCCAAGAACAATTTACGTAAATTACTAGCTATAGTAAGAATTTACCTTAACGGTGAAAACGGAGAACGGAGGAACGGTCGGGGATGGTTTTGAGGAGATGAACGTAGCGCCAAACGTATGAAGCCTCCAACGTACCCACACGAACTTGCTCCGGAGTCCAATATTAAACTTGTGCTAGCAAGTTTAATATAGGATAGTAAAAACTATAATAATACTACTTTGGGAGTAATAAATATATAGTAAAATATTTATCTTATAAATATTTTGTGTATATTTCTAACACTTTAGAAAAATAACTTTGAACACAAAATAAAATTTTCTTCTCTCTAAAAATGGGATGGCCGAAAGTTGTGGTTTTTGTATTAAAAATCAAGACCTCATTTTATAATAAAGTATATTTAGGAAATTGCTAGGAAATTAATGTTAAGCATAAGTCCATGTATATGTCTTAACACCATGTGTAAATGTTTAATATCTTAGCTACCAAACAAAATAGAATCCCTACATCAAATAATAATCAAATATATCAATTTGACATTAAAAATACTTTATGTATAAAATCAAAATGGTCTTGGATTTTTCCTCTTGAAATTTCGGTCATCCCATATTTGAAATATATCATATTTTATTTTTGACATCAATAATTATCATATAATTAAAATGATGAAAA